AAAAATACATTTATTTTAAATTACATTTTCAACACAAATAATCAAAAGTAATACCCATTCAGAAAATAAAAAGACAGAAGGAAAAGGGAGAAAAGAAAAAGAGGTGGAAAAGATGTAATAACCAATGGTTTTATCTTTTAATACTTTTAGTAGCAGTATTTATCTGGATCTGTAATACTTTTTTTACAAAATTCTTGTTCCTTTTTTCATTAAAGTCAGGATTGGGGTAGTTGGAATCCTACTGCTTTTTAGTTATATGTCCTTTACCATTTCTTTTTCTTTTCTCTTCTTCTCTTTTCTGAATGTATATTACATACATGAAGTTCTTAATGATTCTTCTCCCTTACTTCTGTTGCCTTCGTACTCATTGCCAGTCCTTTATTATATTTGACTGAATATTTGACTTTCAAATCCAGTAAAAGAATACATACATACATACATGTACATATACATCCATACCAAAGAAAAATCAGATTAATGAATCCCCTGTACAAATAACTAGCACAAATACTTTTAGCAGCTTTAACAAATAAGGCTATTTTATGTATTAACATATGGATCACAGTCTGATAGTAACTAGCATAGTTTCCCGTAAGAGCTCTCACCTTTTAAGGGAGCCAAAATCTTTCCCAAGAGTCTCTTCCTAGCAATAGAGTAAATAGCACGACATATCATCTACCTCTCCTGTGCCTTAAATGCATAGCCTTCAATTTCTCAAGACATTTCCATATCTACCATCCAAGACAGACTGTTGGACATACAGTTCTGTAAATACAGGTCTCAGAGGGGGAAAGGTAAGCCTTTGTAAGTATTGAGCTCAAGAGCAAATTTTAACCAAACAGGCAATAATTTGGATCAGATCAGGACTGAGCAAGATCTCTGTCCAAGCCTGATTTTTGTGTTTCTATATTTAATTGGCAAAGCGATCGTATGGCTCATGGTACAGAGGTGTTACCTGAAATATTATTGACAGCTGGGGTTTTAAGGAAGGATTTAGGAGGGTTGTCCTGCTTGTGTTTATACCCCTCGAGTATAAATAAATAAGAAGTGTAATTTTTTCTTAATAATGCTTTTGTTGACGCCAAAGATATAATCATGTTAGTCTGGAAAATACAGTATACAAAGGGATCTTGTAGCACCTTTGAGACTAACTGAAAGAAAGAAGTTGGCAGCCTGAGCTTTTGTGGACTTGAGCCTCTTTCCTCAGATGCATACTTTGCACTCCTGCATCTTCTTAAAATCCCTTCCTTGCCTCTTATTATTTCCAACGCCTTCCCATTTGCTGTTTTCAAGTATTTATCCTGAGTCAGAAACTTCCTATTTCATCTTTCACTTCAATCTTGCAGTGTAATATTTTTTATTAAATCAGCTTTCACGTTTTCTTTCCCCTGTTCTCCCCCTTGAATTATTATCCTTATTTCACTTTCCAGAACAGTTGGTCCCTGTTCTCCTCCATTTCAGTGTCGGATCCCTCCATTAATTCAAGTTTGCCTCTCCATATAATGTTCAGCCTCACTCATTTTGACGTTAGCTTCACATTTCTCCCTTCCTTGCCTTCCATCCCTTCCATCTCATTCCTCAGATCCTCAGTCAGCTCTTCATGTAGACTTCTTCGTCAAGTTTGGGAACCCTTCTTCTTCCTTCTGAAGACATATCTCCTCCAGCAGCTGTTGTACTTAAGTCCTGAGAAAGTTCCTGGGAAGGTAACAGCATTTGTTCAATCCAGCAGGTAAAAGGGTAATAGTCCAACTCTTTTCTCACGGCATCAACTAGTTAACTTCTACTTAAGCCAATAGCTGTAATCTTTTCAAACTTGTCGACCACAAGTCCTGATATTGTGGGTAAACACACTTACTTGGCTCTTCATTGCAGAACGAAGACAGTTGTGAGGCTTCCCTTCCTCTGTTTTAATCGGAAGAATTCTTAACTTGCATAACTCAAAAATGTAAGAACTTTAAGAAAGCCAGTTGGCTGTCAGATCCTCAGAAGAAAATAGTTGTATTTCATAGTAAGGGCAAAAGATGCAAGTCCCTCAGTCCTTTCCCACTTATTCCAAATTTACTCATGATTATACATTATCCTCTGCTCCCCTTTTAATCCAAGGTGAGTTTCACCAGCTAGAGAACTCTCTATTTGGGGCTTTTGCCAAGAAAGCTCTCCTCAACTGTGTCTTGCACCGAGGTTTGTAGTTCTTTTTGATCCAGAGAGAAATTTAGCCACCCTAGACTATAAGATTTTTAACTGCCGATCTGGCTGCTGTCCTGCCCAGAAGTCAAAATCTTGAGAATAAGAGTTGTTATTGAACTGTCTTTTACCTATCTGGAGCATAATAATAATAATAATAATAATAATAATAATAATAATAATAATAATAATAATAATAATAATATTTATTTATATCCCGTCCCTTTGAGATCAATTAGGGCGTCTAAAAACAATAAAATATAACATACAAAAGTAAAATCTGAATCCTCCCCCCCCCCTTAAAAAGTTATTAAATCTCATGGTCCTTACTCCCTAAATTTACTGAGGAAGCAGACTTTGAAGTCTACAAAGGCTCCTGCTGCCAACTTCTTTCCTTCAGTCAGTCTCAAAGGTGCTTGCTACAAGATCTCTCCATATACTGATTCTACAGACTATCTTTGAATTTTACAAATCATAACGTATCCTTTAAGTAGGGTAAGAAGGCATTGTGATCCCTTCAAACCAGGATTGGTGTGTAAACCAACCCATATGAACATTAACAGAAGTACATAGTAGTGCTGAGAATGTCAATCTTTAGTTACGTGGAAGCCATAATTCTGCTTCTTAGGACCCTATAAATAAATAAGTTAATCGCAGGCACCACATTTCAAAGCTCAGATTGAATTTTTGCTTGAAAGTGTACAATCTTTTTTTGCCCTTTTCTCCTCTGACCTCCCCTCCAATATAAATTGCATGGCTTTTTAGTTTAATGCTATAACTTTGTTGTAAATGAGGATGTTCCACCCTAATTTTGGAGTGGCCTGGTTATATATGAACCAGGCCATTCACTTGAATCCTATTGATAGCTTCAACTAGAATAGACCCCATTGAATCAATGGGATTGTCATAAAAGTGTTGACTTATTATTCAGCAATTTACCAAAGAGTCTAGTTGGCACTATCCAATGGCATTCAGGTCGCTACTTTTCGGAATTCGGGCCATTACATTTCTGTTATGTGTTCTGTATCCTTCTACCGTATGCTTTCCTACCAGATTAGTTTTCAATTTGTGAAAGGTATAAGAGTTTGTAGCATGAGTTGCTCCCTCATAAAACCATCTATGTTCCAAATTTCATCTTTGTGATGTCACTCTACCAGCTTTGTGAGGTCAAACAGTAGTTTGTGCCCATTATTTCCAACCCTCCAGCAGGCCAGAAAGCCTTTTCATAGCAATGATCAGGAAGAGGAAGAATGCTATCGTGAAAACTCACATTTATATTCACTGGTGAAGATGAGGGTGAATATATTTTCTTTCAGTTAATCTCCAAGGTGCTACAAGATCTCTCTGCATACTGATTCTACAGACTAACACAGCTATATCTTTGCATTCTATATTTTAATAAATACAAGTGGGCTTTAGGGGAATAGTAGCTACTACCTGGGCATAGCGAGATTCATAATTCTGGGTTATAGATGAAATGCATATGGGTAAATAATCGATATGGACAGACAGTGGGTGCTTCCAAATGAGCAGATTCTGGTAGTGCAATTTGTTTTACATGTGTAGCTATCCCATCATTTCTCCTAAAATAATGTTTTTTTCTCCCATTTTTTTGTTTTTTGGAAAGGAAAAATATGATTATTTAAAAAAAAGGATTGGTAAAATGAGGGAGAGTTATGCATGCCCAGCTCCCCAACAAATTCTGTGAATGTGGATGGGCATTAATGCACACAGAAATCCTCATTTGGAAGAACCTCATTTGCATGTCTTTTCCTCGGAATTAGTCCTTTCTCAGGATCAGAGTATCAAAGGCTGATATTTTATCTTTTTTGGAAATCCCAACCATTCGCAAAAGTTTAGAGCAGGCAAGAACATTGTTCTTTCAACCCTGCAAAGAACTCTGGACAAGAGACTGGTTTAAATACCAAGACTTAGTACCTAGTCAGCCCTCCATATCCACAGATTTTTTTATCCATGGATTCAAGCATCTGCGGCTTGAAAATACTTTGAAAATATACACACTTCCATAGGCAAACCTTGATTTTGCCCTTTTATATACGGGACACCATTTTACTGTGCCATTATATTCAATGGGACTTGAGCATCCCCGGATTTTGGTATCCACAGGGGGTCCTGGAACCAAACCCCAGCGGATACCAAGGGCCCACTGTATCATCTATAAATATTTTGTATTCACGATCTCTACTTTGTCACAATTTTGACACTATGGCCAAGATCTTAACTCCCCTGCATTTCAAGCATCAGCTGCATGAGGAGGAGGAGGTCCGTTCTGCTGGTGACTTGAGTATAACCCCCGGTTGCACCAGCATAAGTGCTTTTTTCGGGCATTGCACAAGGGGATACTCTGTTCCTTCTTGTACGATGGCTTTGCTTTGGTTACCTAGCATAGTCCAGCTCCCTTTCCAGCCATTAGTGACTTTTGGGATACTTCTGGATGCTGCTGGTTTCTCCTGCCTCCCTGGCTGCACAGTGTTAGTTGGATTGGTACTTAGATGTACCCTTGAAGTCGGTCAATGGCCAGAAAGCAGAATACTACCAGAAAGGACCTGGGCTGCTTCTTCACAGCCATGAAAGAAGTCTTTGTCCCTCCGCTCTGCCAATATCTCAAGTGTACATACACTGGCCAAGCTTTAAAACCAGCAGTAAAATAGGATCTTGCCTTTGTTTGCTTTTCAGAAGTGGCGGCTCAGGTAACAGGATAGCATCATCTACCCAAAATCTCTAATTCAAGCTTCTTCCACTCAGCTATCTGACATAAAGCACTCTCTTCAGATTACATTAGGACAGGCTATTTTGACAGTGTTGCGTAGTGGTTTGAGTGTTGGACTGTGACTCTGAAGACCAGAGGGTTCGATTCCCAGCTCGGCCGTGAGACCCACTCGGTGAGCTTGAGCAAGTCACATACTCTCAGCCGCAAGGGAAGGTCCATGGCAAACCTTCTCTGAACACATCTTGCCCAGAAAACCCCCTGATAGGGTCGCCATAAGTCGGGAATTACTTGTAGGCACACAGCAGCAATTGTGACTTTGGTAAATAAGCAGAATTATAGTTTGAAACAAATGCTAATCATCTCATGTCATAAATGTGGTATAGTGACCTCATTTTCTTATCTAATCTTTTGCATACCCCAAAGGGCATCATCCACACACAAAAAAAGGGAGATATTAGTAGGTTTTGTAGAATGCCAAGGTATCCATACAAGTGCCAAGATGGGCAAGGAGGACCCAAATGCTAATTTTTCTAAATGTGAGTAACTACTGATAGACAGAAATAAAATTAAAATTTAAATTAAAAAAAATTACATTTGTATAGAACCAGTTTGTTCTCCTTTCTGATGGGAGGGTAGCTTTCTGGTTGGGTTTTGGACAATTTAATGAGATTGCAGAGGAAGGTTTATCTTGAAAATACATTGTTCTTGTAAACTGCTTGGCTTTAAAGAGTAACAAGAACATAAATGTTCAGTGGCAACACCGTTGCGATGGTAGAATAGGATGTAGGTATATTAATTAAAATATATAAAAACAGTCCCTGTAGTGACAAATCTAGCCTGTCTGTAGCTAGCTGGATCACAAAATAACTACAGAATAATACAGTTACCAGTCAGAATTTATAAATTAGGGTCATCAAGAATACAATGAAAAAAAATACTGTTTTCTTTGAAATGCCTTTGTCTAACACTGGGCAAAGACAACTGCAGCCATAATGTTCAGTCATAATTTTTTGAGCCCCTTTTCTGCAAATAGACCGGCACTTAGTGAGAAAGGTGATATATTGTTCTCTTATATTGGAATAAACTGAATAGTTTAATAGACTGTTATACTGAGCAAATAAAGGCCTTTCATTGAGGACGGACAATGACGGCATATTAAGTCAAGCTCTGGTGAAAGTATACTTGTCATTCAAATTATAAACACCTTTAAAATACACAGGTACATTGTAAGGATTTTTAAATAGAGTTAATTTTTGAGGAGTGATAGTAGTATTTAACCAGCTGACTAGCCATATCCAGCAGTTTCTGTTTTATCTCACTTTTGGCAGATTCCCACCTTACAGTCCTCAGCGTTTAAAAATTAAATTAAATTAAATTAAATTAAATTAAATTAAAAAAATCATCCTGATTAAGCTATAAGTGAAAGGAGTTGTCCAATATCTCTATGAAGAGGTTGTGAGAGATATAGACTTTTCAGAATTATACTTTCCTGCAGCTCAGTCAATAAATAGATAAAGACTAACTACTAGCTGATGTTGTTTGCAGAGGATTTAATGTTACAGCATTAAAGTTAGTAATTCTTCCACTTTAGTGTGCAAGGTAATGGTGTTATGGTTAGGACAAGGAAGAAAAGAATAGAGGAATCCCAAGGATACTACAGATCCTCTGTCAGAACAAGTGGTAGTTTGATTTCTTCTCTTTCTCTCCTCACCTTTTGTAGGATAACCGGAATGGTATAAGATATATACAGGCCAGTGAAAATATTGTCTTGAACATTTGACAATGCTTATCTATAGAGAAAAGATTGCTGCTGGAACTTTCCTCTGCATCTTTATACTCACTTTTGCATCGTATTATTGGAAGAAAAACACAATATATTATAACACCAGAGAAGACAAGCAACTGAAACCTTATGACCACTTTTGTAGAGCCCAGCCCACCAGGGACACCTTCACAAGACTCAAAGATAACCACATCTTGATCATAGCCCCGTATTTTGATAACAGGGATGGAGTTGTCATCCGTGTTCTTAGCATTGTTCACCACGAAAATGTAAGAGCACTTTATTGTGTGTTCTGCTGTAACGACAGCATCCCTGTAGTAAGGGCTGAGATAGACATTCATGGAGACCGGTTTGAGTTCCCTTATGGAACAGCGGATGTACTTTGTTGGGAACCACATGGCTGTTCTCCACGGTATATGTCCATTCAACTGTCTCGCAAACTGGATTTTGCCCATCTGCCTGTTTTTGAGATCAAAAACCGCAACTCTGAAAGCTCTCTTCTAGAATTCACAGTGTGTATCTCCACGATGTTTGGAGGCTATAACAATATCTTGCAATTCATACAGACTGTGGAAATGTATAAAATACTTGGGGCACAGAAAGTGGTAATTTATAAGAATAATTGCAGCCAATTAATGGAGAAAGTCCTGGGATATTATGTCTCAGAAGGGACGATTGAAATTATTCAGTGGCCCATCGATTTGTACCTTATGGCTTCATCTTATTGGCATTATTCCATGGATCCCAAAGACATTGGCTACTATGGACAAATTGCAGCCCTGAATGACTGTGTCTACCATAATATGCACAAGAGCAAATATGTGCTCCTAATTGATGCTGATGAAATTATTCTCCCTATCAAGGATGCAGATTGGAAATCACTGATGAAAAGGCTTGAAGACAATAACCCAGGCGCTGGTGTGTTCCTGTTTGAAAACCATGTCTTCCAAAATAATGTGTTTGCCTCTGCCAGTCCATTCAACTTTTCTTCTTGGAGCAGTGTCCCTGGGGTGAACATATTGCAGGGTATCTTCAAAGACCGTAACCAAAGTAGTGATTTCAATAACAAGAAGATGATTGTTCGCCCAAGGATGGTAATTCAGACGTCCGTCCATTCTGTCCTCAAGATGTATGGAAATTCTGTGGCAGTCTCCAGCGACGTTGCCATTCTCTACCATTGCAAGAGGTACAACCAGACAGATCTGCCTGAGGACGCCCTGATTCAAGACCCAATTATTTGGAGATACAACACATCTTTGATTGCAAATGTTAACCAAGTCCTGCGTAAATGTACATTTTTATCAGCAAATTCCAAAGAATGACTGGTTGAAAAAATACAAATACAAATACAAAACAAAAACAACTGCCTACAGATTGGATATCCCATGTGGCTGAAAGTACCAACACTGTTGGGAAATAGTTTGCATACATTTAAAAGGGGAAATACCTTGTTTTTGTTTTGAAATAGATCCGTAATAAAACTGCACAGGCGAGGACCTCTCCCTGTGTTCAAAAGGTTCTACATAAATCAACATTTCCTATGTATATCTGCATTGGGGTTGCCACAAAAGACAGGGCTTTTGCATGCAGAATTATGGAACTCTCTTCTGAATAAAGGTGCTTTCCCCCAAGTCCTTGGTTTTGGTATTTTATTTCCTTCTCCTAAGGGTTGGTTCTGCCTCTTACTGCTCTTATTTTTTTTAATTTATTATATGTCTTACAGTAATAGGGTTGTTGTTGTTGGGCAAACCTATTGTGGGGTTTTCTTGGCAAGATTTGTTTAGAGGAGAGTTTCCTTCTTCTGAGACTGAGTCTGGCTTGCCCGAGTGGGTTTCGGTGGCCAAGAAGTCTGGGTAATACGTACTTTCTTCTTTTAACCTGCTTGATATTTTAAGAATATCCTGGTGGTGTGCGTAACACCCAGGTACATATGTGCAAGTCCTTATTTGGACATTGCAAAAGGAGGGATTCAATAATACCTGTTTGTACAACAACCCCTTGGCTGCTTCCAGGTGCTTCGGTCCATTTACACACATTGTCTGTGTGTCTGTGTAGGCATCCATGTAGTCTGGGGAAATCAAAATGACAGCTGGCAGGAGCTAACTTCAGTTGTGATGCCATCAACCATAGGTCCAATCCATAGATACACTTTATCTTCTCTCTAGTACAGCGTCTTATCCCAATGACACACCCTTATTGTGCACCTTGGCCATGTTTTCCGTTGTAGACAAGGGCAGGATCCTACTTTGCATTGCCAGAGTATCCCTCAAAAGACGAATATCAAGCACTAGAGCACATGGTCATGCTATTTTCTGATCAGTATGTGTGTGGGCTTTGAGGCGGTATCTGGACAAGTGTCCAGTGGCAGTGTTGCAGATGGTACAAGAGAGCACTCTTGGATCTCCTGCTGCTCGCTATGTCTGTGGATAGTTGCCTTGAACGTGAAGCTATCCAAGTGTATGAACTTCTGATAGTTTCATCTGACATTTAGGGCTATAGCATAGGTGACTTTCTTAGACTCACACCTTGAACAAAGAAGCATGCATGGAAACACTAATAAAATGTTTGAAGACAAGCACAAATGGTCCATAGTCCACATTGTGTTGTGGACTATGGTCCAAAACATACTGCAGAAATAATCCAGTTTGAGATTGCTTGCACTGCCCTGGCTCAATGCTAGGGTTTTGTGAGACATTTAGCCTTCTGCCGTCATGCCAAAATAAACTGCAATTCCCAGGATTCCCTAGCACTGAGCCAGGGCTGTGCAAGCAGTCTCAAACTGGATTATTTCTGCAGTGTGCGTTGGACCTCTGATAACCTTGTGTGTGATTGCTCTGCTTCTGTTTTTTGTTCCAGCCAGCCAAGTCTTTAGGAATTCTGTATATTTCCTCCAAAGCTAGGGCCAAAGAACTCCGTTCTTTGAAATCAGCAGCATTCCTGCACAATTGCAAATACAAATGTCAGAGTCATAAAGACAGTTTTTAAAAAATTGAAGACCCACTACAAGCTAAAAGTCTTAATTCTATTTCTGACCCATTTTTAGGTGGGCTCTTGAGTATGAGAGGCTTCTCCCATCTTCAAACAAACTAAACCTTCTTTGCCACCGTCGCTTGCCCACTTGGCTTCCTTCCCTTCCAGTCCAGGACCAGTTTGCCCAGAAGGAAAGTTCAAGGCAAGTGGAAAATGCTTGGTTGCAAATATATCTGATGCTTGGAGAGGGCAGTGGGACAGCTGTTGATCTCTGCAGGGATGTGAGCCTTGCAAACTCCTCTAATCTGGATTGCAATTTCACATTATTGTGCAATTCATGGCTCTCTATACAGTCTCTTGAAAGTCCCATGCCCAGATATATTAAAGAACGAAAATTATACTGCCT